TCAAAAAGGCAAACGGGATGGAATTTGGAAGAAGGAGAAAACAGGAAACAGGACAGGAACCTACCACAGTGGGCCTCTGAAAGACTGTAACCAGCACTGTATAAAAGCAGATAATGAGATTCATAAACTTTGGGCAGGGTGCAGAGAATCTTAGGAAAGAAGGGGGAGATAGTAAGACCTGGAGAGGATAGAAGCTTCACAAGGATTGCAGCAGAAACAAAATATCTAAGCACAGGGAACTTTTCTGAGACTGATACTCCAACCAAGGACCATTCTTAGTTAAAACATAGAACCCCTGCTCAGATGTAGCCCATTGAGGCTTAGTATCCAAGTGGGTACCATAGTAAGGGGAACAGAGACCTTTTCTGACATGAACTCAGTGACTAGCTCTTTGACCGCCTCCCCTGGATGGGGGAGCAGCCTTGCCAGGCCACAGAGGAGGACAATGCAGCCAGTTCATTGAGACCAGAGAAGCTAGGGTCAGATAAAAGGGGAAGAGGACCTCCTCTATCTGTGAACTTGGAGAGGGGTATAGGAGGAGATGAGAGAGGTAGGGTGGGTTTGAGAGGGGCAGAGGGAAGGGGCTAAAATGGGGATACAAAGTAAATAAATTGTAATTAATATAAAAAATAAAAATTAAAAAATATTAATAAAAAAGTAACTAAAAAGTAGTAATAAAGCAGAGTCTGAGACTCATGGCCAAACACTTGGGAAGAGTGCAGGGAACATTAGGAAAGAAGAGGGAGATATAATGACCTGGAGAGGACAGGGCCTCCACAAGTGGATCAGAAAAAAAAAGTGTGGGCACAAGGGTCTTTTCTGAGACTGATATTCCAACCAAGGACCATTCAAGGAGATAATGTAGAACCCAAGCTCAGATGTAGACCAAGGCAGCTCAGTGTCCAGATGGGTTCCCTAGTAATGGAAACAAGGATTGTCTCTAACATGAACTTAGTGGCTGGTTCTTTGATGACCTCCCCCTGATTGGGGGAGCAGCCTTACAGGCCACAGAGGAAGATGATGCAGCCAGTCCTGATGAGACCTCATAGACTAGGGTCAGATGGAAAGGGAGGGGAGGGGAGGGGAGGGGAGGGGAGGGGAGGAGAGGAGAGGACAAACTACCACTGTCAGCAATGAGAGCTGTACCTAAGGATCCTACAGCTACAAGAAAAGATAAGGCAATTTAAGAAACAGTTGTGGTGGCTTGAATGAGAAGTATCTTACTGGCTCATGTATTTGACACTTAGTCCCCAGATGTCACCATAGTTTGATGATGTTATGAAGCACTTAGAACAAGGAATCTTGCTGCAGTGAGAGTATCAGTTAGGGCAGAGCATTTAAACCCCTGCCTCACTTCCAAATCAGTGTCTGCTTTTTTTTTTTAATTAAATATTTTATGTTTTTATATAGTACAGTTTATTCACTTTGAATCCCAGATGCAGCCCCTTCCCTTATTCCCTCCCAATCCCACCCTCCCTCTCTCATCTCCTCCCATTTCCTTCTCCAAGTCCACTGATAGGGGAGGTCCTCCTCCCCTTCCATCTGACCCTAGCTTATCAGGTCTCATCAGGACTGGCTGCAAATTCCTCCGTGGCCTGGCAAGGCTGCTCCCTGCTTGGGGGGTGTTGTCAAAGAGCCAGCCACAGAGTTCATGTCAGAGGCAGCCCCTGTTCCCATTACTACGGAAACCACTTGGACACTGAGCTGCCCTGGGCTACATCTGAGCAGGGGTTCTAGGTTATCTCCATGAGTGGTCCTTGGTTGGAGTATCAGTCTCAGAAAAGATTCCTGTCTGCTTCTTAAGTGTTAGTGAGATGAAATCTTTTTACCTTCCTACCCTGCTGTCATGCCTCCCCTGTTATTATGTTCTCTTCCTCTACAACTGCTAGCTAAATAAACTCTTCCTCCTAGGCGTTCCTCTTGTTCATAACATTTTAATACAGCAAAAGCAACAACAAAATAACTAATATAAAACCCATCACTACAAATATGATTAATTAATTCCTTGAAGCTAGAACATAACTAATTCAAACATAAACAGTAGTCTTAAATATATTACATAAATAGACCTTTTGGTTAAAAACTTACCAAAAAGAACATTTTTAGCCAAATACCTTTCCAGGTCAAAATGGTTTTACACATGAATTCTATCAATTATTATTAACAATTATTATTGAATATAAATAAATTTTAATGGAAAGTTGAAGACATATATTCTATTCAAATTATTAAGTACGAATTACTCTTTATACAACAAATAATTAAATTAATATTCCTTATGAAAATAATAAGAGCTATGGAGAGATAGCTCAGCAGTTAAGAACACTGGCTGCTTTTTCAGGAATGTTTGAATCTCAGCACCCCTACAGCTGCACACAACCACCTGTAACTACAGTTCCAGGGGATCTAATGTCCTCTTGCATACACTACAAGCACTACCTGAATATGGTGTCTAGACATACATCTATGCAAAACACCCATACACATACAATAAAAATAGAAGGAAAATTTTTAAGAAGAAAATAAACAAAAAAACGTTTTAACAAACATTAGCACATACCCCAAAATATTTTAAAGTAATTATACCTGATGTCTGTACAGACAGAAATAAAAGGTTGGGGTACCATTTCAAAACTGATCAAATCATAAATTAAGCAGGAAAAAAGCCTCAATTAAGTGATGTATGACAATACATAACATCTATTAAAACATCTGTACACAATATGAAAACGTAACTCAACCCACTAAAGAACTCATAAATATATTGCTTTCAGTTTTAGAGTAAAATTCAATTTCCTTCAATTTTGAATCGCCAAGAAGACAAAAATATCTGTTCCCACAAATTTATTCAACATGAAAATAAAAGTTCATGCCAGTGTTAACAAGGTTATAAATAAAAGAAATAAATACATGATATATAGAGTAGAAAGAAGTAATGTGCCTTATAAAAATTACTTAATATAAAATCTTTTGAAATCGACACAAAAAGGAGCCAGAATATGTAAATATATTAGATTGTAAAATACAAGCTCAATACAGAAAAATTCAATTGTTTTTACCACTGAAAATGAAATTAAAAAGAACATTTCTACCTATATCATTAACAAAGAAAGTACTAAAAGATAACTCTGACAAAAGTTGTGTAAGGCCTATATGCTGAAATAATTGTAGCTAAAATTAGGCAATTCCTAATGGAGTGGAAAGAAAAACCATGTTTATAGAAAAGTCACTAGTTTTCACATGTCCATTTGTGAAAAGTGACATCCTAGCTGAATGAAATTCCAATCAAAATCTAAGTAGGCATTTTTATAATATTAAAAGTTTACTTTAAAATTAGTGAACAAATGCAAATGACGTATAAGACCCTAAACAATTTTCACAAGAAAAGCAAAGCTCATGGATTTTAATCACTGACTTGAAGATATAAAGAAAGAGTAATTAAGGCAGAGACAAATGTATCAGTGAATGGAACAGAGTGCCCAGCAATAGGCCTTCACCTATATGATAATCTGATTTTCAGTGAAATTACAAGGTAATTCATTGAAGAAAAGATAATCTTTCTCAACCATGATGCTAGAAATGGATACCTCTATGAATTTTAAAAAGATTTCAGTACATGCCTATAAAACCACATATTAATTTAACCCCAAATGAATTAAGAATATAAATATAAACTATAAACTCTAGAATACATATGAAATTCTTTGCTTAGGATTAGGTAAGCATTTCTTAAATGAAATATTAAAACCAATTAATTTAATGGGAAAATAATAAACCGAACTTCAGCAAATTAAGATATTCTTTCAAAAGATTAGATGACAAGGCAAACTAAAAAACAAAAGAAAATAATTAGATACAACACATAAGATTAAAGGCGTACATCTAAACTACATGAGAAACTTTGAAACCTCAATGAAAAAAACAATCATTTCAAATTGGCCAAGTGTTTATACATTTTTCTAAAGCATATAGACAGTAAATAAGTACAGAAAAAGATGCCCAACATCATTAATCTTCAATATGATGAAATTCAGAATCACGATTAAATAATACTATCTATTTATCAGGTGTTCAATACTTTAAAAAGACTGGTCATACCAAGTGTTGACAAGCATGTAAAGCAATTGAAATTCTTACATGCTGCTGTTCAGAGTGTAAAATCTATATGTAATCACTTTGTAAAACAGTTCAGCAGTGTCTTTAAAGCTAAAACATACCATGTGATGCAGCCATTATATTTCTAGATATTTATTTATGAGAAATGAATACATATGCAGTACAATCATTTGTACATGAATGTTTTTAACAGCTTAATTGGTAATATCCAAAAACTGTAGTAACTCAAACATCAACAAGTAATTAAACAGAACATGGTGCATCCATACAAAGGTACGACTCACCAATAAAAGTGAATGAATTGATACACAAACAACATGAATAAATCAAAATAACTATAATTATTTGAATCAGACATAAAGAATATATATATTTAAACCAGACCATATATATATATATTGATTTTGTTTCTATAATCTCTTAGAAAATACAATCCAAACTGTAACAGATAGCAAAACCAGTAGGAATAGGATGGGAAGAACACATTACAAACTTTTGGCAATAATATATTTTATCTTAATAATGATTTCAGCTATATTAATAGGAAAAATGTATCAAATTATGTAATTTATTGTTATAATTTATTGTATGTCAATTATACCATAATATATCCACTTTAAGTAAATAAATTAAACACTACACCAAGAGGCAAAGTTCTAGGCTTATTCCTATGTGCTTCACTCAGTTATTCATAATGTTCTTTCATCTCAGAGAAAAGTAAACACTGAGATGATACAAACACACATAGAAAGCTTCATCGGGCATATAAAGTACTCTATACAATGATAAAAAGCTTAAGCGTTCAAAATTCTACAGGAAAATAGTATGACTGGTTAAGTTAGTTTGAATAAAACATACTAACAAATTTATAAGGAAATTCTCACCTCTTTGGATAACCTTGTGAAGACATCTCCTCCCCTGAGGAAATCCAATATTAAATACAGCTTCCCTTCAGTCTGAAAGGCTAATTAAAAATCATAATGTTGTAGCAGAGTAACACTTACCTACTTTTATATTAACATGTTTACAATTTTATTATCAAACATTGTGAAACAATTATATATTAACATAGTCAATTATAAGGTAATATATCAGAAATTAAATCCACTATGGAATCCAGTATTTAAATAGCTACCTATTCCTTTCCAGAACATAGTCAATGTTGCATGTGGCTTTACAAAATATTCTACCACTAATATTTTCCTGATAATGAAGTATCTTGTTCTAGTGCAGCTGCTTAAAATTTGTCTCTCAGTCATATGTATTGTACAAAGCTCAAAAATGTCCCCTCCCCCATTGAGCCCTTCATGCTTCTTTTGTGACATTTATTTCACTTTCATTTGCACATTCATTTAAACAATTTCATTTTCTGTGTATTATTAGAAATCAGTTTGTTGCACTTCTACAACCCACTTCATTTAATACAGAATTTTGCCACAATAGGGATTTACTATTAATCTCATGACATGTGACTCAAAGAGGTTCTAAAGTACTGTAATTTTTATTCTATTACATTAAGAAAAAAATTAAATAAGGGGCCAGAATTCTTATAGAATTTAAATAAATTGGATACTTTTTATAAAAATTACACTAAAAATAAAATCAATATGTGCTGCTTCTTAAATGCAGAGAATGGAACAGTGTAGTAAACTGCATTAAGACTTTATTTTGATAAATAAATAAATCTATTTATTTCCCAGTAAAATCGTATCTACAATCTCTTTCATATATTAACAACGGAGACATGATTCAAATTCACAAATGCCTGACTCCAAGAATCCTTCCCCATTATTTCTGCCGCTTCTTACTGATATCTTCTCTTCTATAAGTCTTATAGAACAGTTCTACCTTACTACTATACCACATAACCCTCTTGATTAAAACCAGAAAATAGAAAATATTGTCCTTGTAAATGAACATCTGAACGTTTTACACAAATTATTATAGAAGGCTACGATCACTGGAGGTGTTGCTTCATCTCATCTAGAAACACTACTGGTCAAACAAGTTGAAGACATTTTCATTGTTTGTTTGTGAACTTCATATATGCATATAATGTGTTTTGAACAAATTTACCCCATTTCCTTCCCTTCAATTTCTCCCATAGCCTCTTATCACTACTGCCTCCAAAGTTCATGTACTCATTTTTTGAATTGCAAATCCACATAGAGTTACCAGTATATGCATGAGTGTAGGGCCCCATCTACTGAAGCATGGGTAGCCTCTCAGAGGCACTGCTGAAGAAAACTGGCTCAACCAATGCCCATTAGTTACCAATAGTTCATAAGCTAAGGGTAAGACTTCATGACCCCTCCCTGAGACTTGATGGGATTTTGGAAGACATTATCATGTTACCTTAATTAAGTTAAGAAACTTAAGATAATGAAATTCAACTAAAAGCTAGATGTTGATACATATTTCAGGTATATTTTATATTGTTGAATATATTAAATAACTTTTAAGTATTTATTTCTTGTTATAGTACTATCTGAAAAAAAGTTGCAGTTCTCTAATTCCATAAATAAAAGGGTTGCATACCATAATGTAGTTTGACGATAAATGGATGATTTACTTCCACCAGAATATCCCTCTCCATCTTGGTGCGAACACGGTCTCGAACTAAAATTCACATAGACTCAAAGGTTATACTCATTCATAATTTCAGTAAAGACCTGTCATTTACCAATCAAAATATAAATATATAAATAATTTTGAAGGTATCGAATAAAATTAAGTCTGTATATTCCTAGCTAATAATAACCACTTTCAGAAAACAACAAATTTAGTCTAGAGCTAGCAATAAGCTAATATAGCAAATTTGGCTTATAAGTACTTCTTTAAGTTTTCATGTGAAGTAAAACTGAACTTAACAGTATCCCTTGTGATATCTGTCCTCTTCTTTCTCCACCTTACCCCCTTTTCTTCTATCTCTATCACTCACTGGGTTTTATGAAGTCCATGCTAGTCTTTACTATGGTATGCAAGGCAGGACAATCTTGAACTCTACCTCTCTCTCTTTTTTATTCCTATTGGCTTTTATTAAAAGATTTTTTAAAATTTATGACAATTTATTCACTTTGCATACCAGCTGTAGCTCCCTCCCTCATCCACTCCCAATGCTGCCCTCTGCAGGGTTATAGTATGTAATGACTTAACAGGGTCAGTATTAATTTTATAAATCTAAAGGACTGTGCATATAAATGTATGGAATAGTTGTGCTTTCTAAATGTTCAACACCCAGAAAAACAGGAAAAAAAATGTTGAAAAGCTAAAGATTTTTTAAAAACTCCTTAACTTCAGACTGAACTGAATGATATATGTCATATTTCTTGATATTAAACTTTTATTCAGGTACACATTCTATATAACAATAGAGGACCCAGAAGTAGTAACTGGTAACTAGAAATATATAACTGTTAAGTATAATTAACAATGCTAAAAAGCAACTCTAACTATTCCCCTTATCAGCAATACACAACATAATTCTATTCTAATAAACTCTCTACTTTCATACCTTTTAAAGAAGCTTTTTTTAACACCTTCATTGCATAGAGCTGTCCAGCATCAGGACCAGTCTTCTTCCTAACAAGAAAAACCTAACAGAGGAAATATTTTTAAGTGAATTTCATAGTTCAAGCCACTTCATCACTTTAAATATATTTTCTTATTTATGCCTGTAAATTTCATACAATGTATTCTGACTATATCCTCAATTTGTCCTACACCCATCATATCCCTCCTAATGTCAAATTCTCTTTAATCCAATTAGTGCTTCTGGCACATGTATGAATTTAGGACCAACTATAACAGCATGAGCAAATTATTAAGGAAAACTGACCCTCTCAACTCCATCCCTGTGGAATTTTGACTGGCTTGATCCCGTAACCATAGTTTTGTAACTCTTTTTTTTGTGATGATAGTGATCCACAATGCGACAGTTGTATATATGAACTCACAGAAATTATGACAGAATGCAAAAGACCTATATAAGCTCAAGCCATTTAAAATCCTAGCATGAAAAATGAGAAGTTAGCATGAAGTTCTACCACTAGTTAAGGAGCCTTTTGGCCTTTGATTACTAGGAGCTAGATAATCACTTTTCTTTAACTGTGTGATTCTCTAGTAGACAGACTACATTCTAGGGCAGGCCCCGGTCTCAAGACTAACTGAACCCAGAAGCAGAAAGACATGCACAGTATATACTAACTTAAAAGTGGTTATTAGCCATATAATATAGGATGAATATAGGATAAACTAAAATCCACAGACCTAAACTGGCTAAACAACAAGAAGGACCCTAGAGAGCATGCTTAATTTTTATTCAGAAGGGAAAACAGGATAGACACAGGAAGAAGTAGAAGAGATGGAACAGGACAGGAGCTTTCCACTGGAGGGGGGGAATGTTCTGAAAGACTGTTAAGCAAGGTAACAAAGCAGAGACTCATAGCCAAACTTTGGACAGAGTGCAGGGAGTCTTATTGAAGAAAGAGGAGATAGAAGGACTAGGAGGGGACAGGAGCTCCACAAGGAGAACAAAAAGCCAAACAAGGAGCACTCAGGGTTACAGCAGAGACTGAGACATCAACCAAAGACCCCCTACACAGATATAGCCCATGCGCAGCTCAGTCTCCATGTGGGCTCCCTAGTAAGGGGAGCAGGGACACTCTCCGACATGGACCCTGTTGCTCATTCTTTGATCACTTCCTCCTGGTGGGGTAGCCTTATCAGGCCACAGAAGAAGAGGATCCAGACTGTCCGGATGAGACCTGATAGGCTAGGGTCAGATAGTAGGGACTTCCCCGATCAGTGGACTAGGGGACAGGGATAGCAGGGGAAGAAGGAGGGAAGGTGGGACTGAGAGGAAATGAAGGAGGGGGCTACAACCAGGATACAAAGTGAATAATTTGTAAACAACAATAACAACGAGTAACTGCACAACACAAATTGAATTCCATGGGTTAAAAAAGAAAGCAAGAAAAACTCAGATGTTCAGTAGGTAGAAAAATGAGAGTGGAGGAGTTGGGATAGGGAAGTGATTATGAACTAAATGAATTGTATAAAATTCTTAAAGAATATAGATAATACAAAATAGTGATCCAAGGAAAATGACTAGCTGACATCATAATTAAAAATTTTACACTGTACTCTGCTTTGAAAAGCCTTGCTTTTGAGCTTCAACTAAAATATTTTATTGCACTTTTTTAATGGTTGAAATGTAATAAAAATACCTGATTGTATTTCATCAAGGACATTTTTCAACTAAGTGTGAGGCAGTAAAGAACCCAATGACAAATGTGCTGTTTAGAGTTTCTACCTTTATTGTGCCAGAATACAGCAGTTCTAAAATTATTGGGATCATTATGAAACACCTTTGACCTAAGGACTCCTTGAAACGGTTTGGTAATGCTGAGAGAAAAACATTCCACACCTCTGAGAACTACCATTGTAGAACACAGTCATCAATGATATTAGAAAAAAGGAAAGTATAAAGGAAGAGGCAATTAAGGAAAGATAAAAGAACCCATGCTGCAAGATAGAAAATGTTGTACAAAGTAGTCATTTTTCACAGTTTTTCAAGTATTCTCTATTATTTCTAAATGTCACCTAATAGACATCATTATTCATAATCTGAAAAACTGACTACTAATTACATGATACGGTGTTTTCAGCAAGAAAAAAAATCTTCTCACAATCAACTACAAATAATGGGATAGATTCAAGCTACTGTACGTATCATGATATTTTTTAACTTTTTTTATATTTTTTATTAATTACACTTTATTCATTTTGTATACCCCCATAAGCTCCTCCCTCCTCCCCTCCCAATCACACCCTCCCTCCCCTTTATGATATTTTTAATTACATTAAACTATGGGAAACTGTCCAGAGAGGAAATGAGTGAGTTACCTCAAAGTATTTTTCTCTCAATCACATGGACTTTTTATATTATCCATGAAGATTCACTCAATAAACTTAATAAATGAATTAGAAGTCTACGTATTCTTAAATATTAATTGCAAAGAAAAAAACTGTATTTGTTGGTATTTCAGAATACAACCATGTATTTTTAAATCTATCATTTGATAATAGATGAATTATATAACAATAAAAAGTTAAATGTCTTCAAATTTATTTTAAGTCCTATATTTAAAGGCTTGCCACATAAGGAAGATATTATTTAATAATCCATGAATATCCACTTTATAAGTGATTTGTCTTATGTTACACAATCTAGTCTGACAATGCCAGATCTTTATGTTTTATTTTTGTTTTAAAATAATGTAATATTTAGGTGTATATTTCACTCCATTCATTAGTGGTCATTAATATTATTATATTTTGCATGATCACTATATAATTTTCCATACATTTTTCAGGGGAATACTGCTTTTTCTATAATTTTAGTCAATATATAAGCATGTTTCATTATAACATAGTCATATACACATAGCATGATGTCTTATTCATGTCCATTCTGAATTTTCCCAGTCCTATTGCCTGTTGCTGCACTTGAGTCTCCACACAAGCAGTTCTCCTAAATTGTTTCATGTCACATATCTTTTATTCCTAACTCTCTCTTTAGACTTCTTCCTTCCCCTTTACCCTCTTATTCCACTCTGTATATATGCACATGAACATATATATTCTACATATGAGAGAAAACATAAGGAGTCCATTTGGTACTGGACTATTTTTTATTTAAGTTGGCAATTACTATTTCTATATCATTTTTGATTTATGTGTATATGTATTTGTGTTGTTTGTGTCATCTTGGTTTAATTCTGGTAAGTCATATGTCAATCAATTTATCTATTTCTCCTGGATTTTTTAATTTCTGAGAGTATAAATTTTTAAAGGACTACATTTCTAGTAGTTAGTTATCCCCCTTTCATTTCTACTTTTATCAATTTGGACCTCCTTTATATCTTTCTGTCAGTTAATTTGGCTAAGGATTTGTCCATTTTGATTATCTTTTCAATAAATCAATTTTGCTTTATATGACTTTTTATTTGAATTGTTCTTTTAATCTTCATTTCATTAAACCTTGTTTTATTAATGTGAAGTTTTATATAACGTTGGCATTAGTAGGATTTTGTTCCCAATAAATAGACTAAAACATTTAATGTCATAAAAATTTGCATGATCTAAAACTACTATTGCTTATATTTTAACAGGGGAACCTTTGCTGAAAAACTTAAGTGAGACTTACAGCTCAAAGTTTCTTGGAATTGGGCCTTCACTTACCTGATTCACATCCTTGGCTAAATTTCCTGAATATGTTCAGCATATAACAAGTCACACCCACATAATACCTACATAAATGATGCAATACTGACAAGCAAGTATGTTCACATCCTAAGAAGCAAAACAAAAGCTACCTTCTCTTTTTTCCATGTTGATTTAATTTTATTTTATTAATTACACTTTATTCACTTTGTATCCCCCCATAAACCCCTCCCTCCTCCCCTCCCGGTCCCACCCTCCCTCCCCCTGCTTCACACATGCCCCTCCCCAAGTCCACTGATAGGGAAGGCCCCCCTCTCCTTCCTTCTGATCTTAGTCTATCAGATCTCATCAGGAGTGGCTGCATTGTCATCTTCTGTGGCCTGTTAAGGCTGCTCTCCCCTTAGGGGGAGGTGATCAAAGAGCAGGCAGCTACCTTTTTAATAACCTATTCTGTATCTTAGTACTATGAATTTAAAGGGGCTTCAATAATGTATTTCTTAAACCAAAATTCCTATACATAGTGTTCCCTGAATTTAAGGACTAAACTGACAACATGTTAGAATCTTGTTATATTTAACACGAAGATGTAATAGAAAAAAATCATTTTGTTATACATTATTTTTGTTATGAAGATCAATGATAAAAGTTTATCTGGTCTGTTTAATAGGTTTCTATCTTAAAGATATTAATACTAATGTACTTGAATATGTCATTTTCTGGCTGCCAATCTCATTTCTAGCCTACTTATAAAAGACCTTCAGGCCCTATTTTATACATTTGTAAATAACAACGTGTATTCCAGACTTTTGCAACCTTTCCTGATCTAGTATTTCTGTTTCCATCTACATTGCTACTTGCTTCTATTTTTCTACCTCCCCCTTTGATTTTTAGATTTATTTGAAAATAAGTTTTATTATGTACCCAATTATTGCTCAAACCACTCTGTAGCCCTCAAGATGACCTCAAACTCAGAAGCATTCTTCTTCAGCAGCCTGAGTGCTAGGGTTATAGGCAAACAACCCCATGTCCAACAGTGCTTTTTTATTTTAATTTTTACTATTACTTTTCTGGAATTCTTAACTATTTATGAGACAAAGCAAGAAATAAAGGCACAGATGAAGATATATGTACAACAAAATTTTTTAATAACTTGAAATGTTTCTGTGGTATCATTATATTGGTCGACTATTTAAGTATTAATTTGAGATATAAAAACTTCATCTCTGTTCTTCTAAATATATTCTCTTACCAAGGACCATCTATGGATATAACCTAGAACTTCTGCTCGGATGTGGCCCGTGGTAACTCAGTAACCAAGTAGTTTTCCAAAGTAAGGGGAACACGGACTATTTCTAACAGGATCTCAAGGGCAGGCTGTTTGACCCACCCCCACAGGGGAGGAGCAGTCTGTTAGGCCACAGAGGAGGACTTTGCAGCCAGCCCTGAAGATACCTGATAAAACAGGGTCAGATGAAAGGGGAGGAGGTCCTCCCCTATCAGTGGACTTGGAAAGGGGCAGGGAGGAGACCAGGGAGGGAGTGTGGGGTTGGGGAGGGAATGAGGGAGCGGGATACAGCTGGGACACAGAGTTAACAAAATGTAACTAAAAAGAAAAATAAAAAAAAGAAATAAAAAAAAGAAATATTAAAAAGAAAACTGTATAGAATATATATCTAATTTACAAGTTACTTTGATAATACCTCATCTACAAATGCCAACAACCTATTAATAGACACTGTTAATTTTTGTTTCCACTGTACTTATCCCTGTCTGACTTTGTTCTCTGCTGCTATGACAGACACCATTACAAAACAAACAACTTGAGGGTTAAAGGATTTATTTGGGCTTACACATTACAGTCCATCATGAAGAGAAGCCAGGGCAGAAGCTCATGGCAAGAACTAAAGCACAGACCACATAGGAATGCTGCTTACTAGCATGCTTCCTCTGGCTTGCTCAGCCACCTTCTTTATACAGACCAGACTCACCTAACAAGGTACAGTACCACCCACAGTGTGTTGCTCCTTCCTACACCAACCATCAATTAAGATAACACCTAACATCTGCTTTGATATCCTGCTGAGTCGAGTCACTCAAGGGCCTCTGTGTTAGGCTCCTGTACTGTTCCATGTCTTCTGCTACTTCAGATGTCTATCCTGTTTGCCCTTCTGAATGAGGATTAAGGATCTTCTCTTACTGCTTAGACTCTACCCAGCAGAGTATCAAAGCAGATGCTGAGACTCAGCCAAACTTTGGGCAGAATGCAAGGAATCTTATGGAAGAAGGAGAGTTAAAAAGACCTGGAGGAGACAGGAGCTCCAAAAGAAGACCAACAGAGAAAAAATATTTGGGACTTGCAGAGACCAGTACTCCAACCAAGGACCATGATGGAGAGGACCTAGACCTCCCTGCTCAGAGGAAGCCCACAGGCAGCTCAGTCTCCAAGTGGGTTCCCTAGTAAGCAGAGCAGAGTCTATCTCTGACATGAATTTTATGGCTGGGTCTTTGATCACCTCCTCTTGAGGGGGTTTGCAGCCTTGCCAGGCCACAGAGGAAAATGATGCAGGCACTCCTCATGAGACCTGATAGGCTAGGGTCAGACAGAAGGCTAGGAGGACCTCCCCTATCAGTGGACTAGGGGAGGGGCATAGGGGGAGAAGAGGGAGGGTAGGTGGGACTGGGAGAAGATGGAGGGGCTACAGCCAAGATACAAAGTGAACAAATTGTAATAAATTTTTAAAAATAAAATAAAATGAAAAAAGATAATACCTAACAAACATGGCCATGGACCAAACTGATGGATGCAGTCCTTCAACTGAAGTTCACTCTTTCCAGGTGTGTCAAGTTGACACCTTATGTCATTCATTTACAAACCGTAAGCCATTTCAGTTTGACTTTTGTGTCCTCAAAATATTTATGATATATGCTACACCATATAGGTAGCAGACTACATTCAAATAATTAATGTCTAGTTTATATTCACCAATATATTTAATTAAACTATTGTTCACCCATTGAGCACTCAGTAAATATCTTTTAATCATAATCACTGCCCAATTGCCCCATGTTTCCTCTTTGTAACTAAATCTAAGCTACTGTGATATTTTGTCTCTCCCATCTTTCTCTCTCACAAATAGTGATTACTGCTGTCTTCCTAAGAGCTATTACTTACTGTATGCTTTCAATAATTTTCATGTCTTAGATGGTAGGTATACAAGCTTCAAAAATCCATATTCACATACTCCCTTTACAAAAAACATATTACCAAATACTTCAAATAAATTAATAAGTATATGAATTAATTTTTCTCAAAGATTCTTTAAAGCAAGACTTTCACATCATTTCCAAATTACTTCTGCTAGTTCTACTTTGCTGTAAGAGATGATGGGTTAGCTCATGAATCCATACATGAACTATGGTATAAATTCTAAAATTCTCATACAGAGCTAATAAACAGAGACAAAAATCACCAGGAAAAATTAAAAAAAAGGACATAAAATATCTTTACAAAAATCAAGTATGTGATTTAGACAAAAACAAAGAACATGCCATGCATTTTATGTAGAGTAATATAAGCTCTAGATATTAGAAAACCTTCATTTCTACAGAGGATTATAAAGAAATCTGAGTAAAACCAGACATGAAACATATAAAACTAAAAAGTCACCTTTTGTTTATCCTGAGAGCCACATAAATGATGTGTACACACGTACACACATTACTGTTAAATATCAAGAAGAAAAACAAATGTAGAAAAAGTATTACCTTTCCAAAGGATCCCTGGCCAAGAACCTTAAGCAAGTCAAACTGTGCAGGATCTGCTTTCTCGTATCCTTCTTTAACATGATTTGTAATAGGGATTTCTTTAACCTGTTTAAAGAAATAGTGTTTAAAAACAATACTGTTTTTTAAGAAAGTCTAAATAATATATGTGCAATTTCAACATCTTGTGATTAGTTCCATTTCAAAACAACAAAACAAAATTTTAAAAAAAAAATCACATCATGAGCCATGTAATAATAAACCTTATCAATCCAGCATTTTGCTTTATGGACTATAGATATTCCTATCTCCTGATATAACACTGAGATACAATTTTATTTCTTATGGCATTTTTTTTTATTCCTTTGAGTCAGAGTCTTGCTATGTATACCTAGTTAGATTGGAACTTGTTATGTAGATCAGATAGGCCTCCAACTTCTGACAGTTCTCTTCTGAACACCGAGACTATATTCATGTGTAATAAACCCGAGCTGTTACTATATAATTCTAGTTTATGAAACTATGTACAACAAATTCATACAACAGCTATATAATTAAGTGATAATGATACAATAACATTAAGAATAAGACTTATTTTTTAATTTTTATTTGTGATTTTTAGATAAGAGGACTGTATTTATACAATTCCCTCATCCTCTCTTCCACTCCAACTATGCACCCCCTTCCCTTCTCCCTTTTAGATTCATAGCTTCTGTTTAATTATATTACACATATATACACATAAGTATATGAATAAGCCTGCTGAGTACAGCTAGTGTTGCTCATATGCATGTGTTTAAAGGGATGGCGACTTAATGCTGGATAATCAATTAGGGAACTCATGTGAGAGGGAGACTCATTCTCTTCTCTCAGCAGTCATTAACTGCCAATAGCACTTCATCCAGGGGTTGGGCCTTGTGAGATCTCTCTCATCCGTAATGGTATATCAACTAGTGTTATCATTGTTTAGGTTTTGTTTAGGCAACCTTATTGTTGAGATTTCATGGGTGTAGCTTCCCAGCCCTATATAGAAAACACTATCTTGCACCAAACATCCAGGTCCCCTGTCTCTTAAAGATCTTACAAACCACTTTTCAATGATGTTTCCTGAGCCTTAAGTGTAGTGGTTGTATTGTAAATGTACCAATTGGGGTTGGACACATCACAGTCAGTTGAAGAGCTAAGATGCTTAAGCTCCTCACTGAAGTGTAGTTTAAGAGAAAAAGATAGAGAAACTAATGATAAAGCTTTGCCAATTTTGAGACAGCAAAACAAAAATCTCAAGTCACTTTAAATAGTATTTTATTATATTCTTGAGTATTTTAATATCCAACTAGTTAGATCAGTGAAAAGCAAACTCACAAAAATATAATTTAAGAACTCAAAATGTTCCTAGGCCATGAACCATTATTAATTTGAATATAAATGATATGCAAGTTTCCTACCAACTATGTTAGAAAGAAAGGAACCCTCTGAGAGGGTAATTCTGAGAGTCCTCAGGTGTTAAGAGTTGTACTCAAGTGAGCTGTAATCCTAGTCCCTATGGAAAGCCCAGTAACTGAATTTTTATTTTTTTTAAATCCACATGAAGTCTTTATCACAAAATAGTAAAATTGAGAGGACAGTCTCTGACCCAACATTTTCAACTGTCTAGAAAACAAAATCGATACACTCATAGCTTCAGTTTTATAGTGTCTAATGTCAAATGGTCTTTATCTAAAGTGCTTTCTAATTCTCTGATTACTCAATGGTGGCTGTATTAAAGTGGACCAGAGAATGGTCCCAACAAGCAAGGCTTCTTGACAGCAAAATTAACATCAATGACAGAAAGTCAGACATTATTCTCACGAGAAGTCTATCAGGAAGGAAATTCTACTTTTAGGTATTTTTGAGATTTCTCTACAAATCAATTAGAAATGATTAATAATTCTGAAAGTATATCAATGGATGTCTCATACATTAAAATGAACAGATCTTTTTATGTAGTAAATGACTTAAAGCATGCTTTCAAAAACAAAATTAACTCATGAAAGTGTCTCAATTTTTTAAATAAAATCAGGAATATTGAAATGCAAATATGCTTATTTTATGACTGAGATACATATAAATAACTAGTGATGTATACAAGTAAAAATGGGGCTTGAACCTAAGGTGTTATGCATATGAGACAAGCCCTCTACTAACTGAGATACAGCCGCAGCCCTCAAACTGTGATGTATTTTAATTCTACCAAAGGATAATATATGCATATATCTATGTTATACATGTATTCAGAAAAGATATATTTTATACTGATTTGTGCATTATTAATGGAATGTAGTACCAAATCATCAAATTCATAGCAGTTTTCTCCGGTAGAAAGAGAGGGTCAGTGGGTTTTCTTTTAGCTCTGCCATGCAATGATCTAAGCCGAACGGGTTAAACCACTCTATTTGAATTCTCTGAGGCCCCCTCTACATTAGAATCTATATTGAAAATAGTATACTGTTTTTATGTATAAGAAGTTACTTCTTATACATAACATGCTTACAATTAACACTGTAAGTAAGCATGTATTACAATAACTTCAATTTTGGGTTTGTTTGATTTGTTTTATTCTTAAGGTGGGGTTTCATGTATCCCAGGATATCTTCAAACTTGCTGTGTAGCTCAAGCTGTCCTTAAATTCCTGACTCTCCTGCTTCTGTCTCCCAAGTTCTAGGATTACAAGTATTCACCATCATGTCCACTATATTCAGTGTTGGAGAATCTAACTCTAGGAACCTGAGCATACGAGACAAGTGTTCTGCCAACTGAGCTACATCCTCATCTCGACTTTAGGTTTTGTGAGTGTTCATAAACCTAAGCAAATATTCCATTTGAGAATGGTGGACAAATGTTATATCCCCTTTTATTAAAATCCCCAACAGTGATATTTTTAAAAGCCCATACAATCAAATGCGCGCGCACACACACACACACAGAGTGAGGGGCAGGCAATGTGAAACCATCTACAAATTCAGGAGAAAGGCTTCAGAAAATCAATCTTGCCAACACCTTGATGTCAGATTTAATAGAGTCCAAAACTGTGAGAAAATTAATTTTTACTGCTTAGGATACTAAGTTTGTGGTCCTTTGTTAGTGCATTCCTAGAAAACATATGAGTTCATCAGTGAAAATGAAATTGTTATTGTAAAGTAAAAAAATAATAACTTCCAAATAGAGGTCACTACACTTTTCACATTAAATGACAAATCTATGACATAAGTAACTACAGTGTTAGGTGTTTTTTTCTAAATCTCTAAAGTATATTTAATGAGAAGAAAAAAATTTAAAGGCTAAACCATACATTCTATAGTCTGATAAATTTTGTTTTAAATATAGCAAATCAAGATTGTTCTAACACCTAAAAAAAAAAAAAAAGCATTGATAAGCATCAAACAATTAGTCAAGTACACTACTGCTTCATTCATTTGACAACAAATCATTTATGGGGAAGAAATCAGCTGTTAGGATGAAAAAGAGATAGTGACAATCTAATAGTAATCTGCTACATGTCAAATACAGCAGTTTCACAAGATTCTAGGACTAGTCTACATAACAAAAGGCTAAACAACAAAAAAAGGATATTTAAAGCCTAAGTATATTGAGGTTTATGTAATAATGCAACATTGTTCAAGCATTGTTTTATTTCAAGGCAGCAAGGTTATTTTGTTTAAAAAAATTAAAATTTAAAGAAACCATTTTGCTGAAATATATGTAGAAAATATGTAGAGAAAACTATATGGTACTGTAAGCCATGCCGAATGTCAACATTTTTTTAGCAAAGGTTAACAATAATAATGCAAATAACAAAGTTCCACTAGCTTGAATTAAACACATCAAAATAATGAATACAATGGAAAATACTGTAAAATACTAATATTGCAAAATTTTCTACTGATGACTGGAAACTAAAGGATAGCAGTAAACTAATTCTTACTTAGGTTGGTTTATTCTAATTATATCACTCTTGGTTCCCTTACCTATAAAATAGAAATAAAACCTCTATCCATCCATTTCAGATCTAAGTCACACAGGGATCTGTACAAAAAGATAAAATGTCTAAAAAATGAACTTACTGGACTTAAATGTATCATCTTTGCATACTTTATTATGAAGCATAAACTCCATTTAATAGCAATTGTCCAAGAGTATTGAGTAGTGATGGTTCATTAAAGAGTTTTGCACATTTTTAGTACATAGCTTTTAATATTTCTAAAGAAGAGAAGTTGAATAAGAAGAAAACTGAATACCAGCACTGCAAGAGAATAATATACTGACGTTGAAGCACAGCAAGGCTTAATATCCATCAAAATAGGCCTGTAATCTCATCTACACAGTAGGCTAAACCAAGATGACCACAAAGCCAGTCTGAGCTATAAAGTATAAGGCCAACCCTATTAATTTAGTGAGCTCCTATCTGATAATAAAAAGTACAAGTTGAGCTGGGTCTACAGTTATATGGTAGAACACTAACACCTACCCAGAAGGAATGAGGCCCTAGATTCAATCTTCCATGTACGGCAAAAGGAATAGAAATAAAAACAGGCAGGCAAAACCTACTACAAATGAAGCACACATTACAAGCTTGAAATATGAAATACTCTGTATCAAATGTTTTATGTAAATTTAAGTAAAACATGCTTTAAAAAGACTTTTTGAAGGATTTTGTATGATATTTCAAGCATAGATTTGAAATTTTGAAATTTAGAGCTAAAATACAGAGAAATTAATTGGTTGTTTTGAGTATATCTTTGGTTAAATATGACACAATTCTGATTAATAAAAAAATAAACTTGGAAACTAAATATGTGACCTTGCAGGAGTCAAATCAACAATGTACCTAACTCTTAAGTAAACCATGGGCAGAGTGCAAGGAATCTTATTGAAGAAGGGTGGATAGAAGGATCCCCTGTTCAGATGTAGCCAATGGGCAGCTCAGTCTCCAAGTGTGTAAGAGGAGCAGGGGCAGCCTCTGGCATGAATTCAGTTGCCTCCTCTTTGATCACCTCCCCCTGGCAAGGTGGCCTAACTAGACTACAGAGAAAGGATCCAGACAGTCCTGAGATGAGACTTGATAGGCTAGGGTCAGATAATAGGGGAGAAGGACCTACCCTATCAGTAAACTAGGGAGGAGAGATAGGGGAGAAAGAGGGAGAGAGGGAGGGATCTGGAGGAGACAAGAAAGGGAATACAACTGGGATACAAAGTGAATAAATGGTAATCATCATCATCATCATGCCTAGGGCATTGTTAGCATTAAGAAATATTTTATGAAGCTTTAAAAAGTAAACATAAGCTACATAAATCAGACTGGGGAGATGGCTCATTAACAGCACTTGTTTTAGCAGAGGACCTGGGTTCAATTTCTAGCTCCTACATGGTGGCAAACAGCCATCTGTAACTCTAGCTCCAAGGAGCTGACACGCTCTTCTGGCTTCCATGGACACGTATATATTTCACACACATACAAGCAGGCAAAACAATCATGCCATAAAATAAATATAAAATATCATATTTTTAAAAAGAAAACACAAATGAATCACAAACTACAAAATACATGTAGCTATGCTTAATTTCACAGCATGTATGAAGTTTATTCATGTCAGTCATTTACAAATGGAGAAAAATGCTGATCTGTTTTTACTAACTTTGATGTCAGAAGCAGAAGACGAGGTGGTAAAATTATGTACCAGATATCCTTTATATACACTAGAAACTTAAAGTCTCAGGAGCATTTTATTAAATTTTCCTTGTTTAAACTGAACAAAAGACATTAAGTGAATTATGAAAGTCTAAGGTAATAATGAAGTAGAGTAAATTAGATCTCTAAATGACTCATTAGGTCACATAAGCAATAACAGCTATTTCAATATTGTGAGTTTCTGCATACCTGCATTCATGCATGCATGTGAGTGTGTGTGTGATGCTGGGAATGAAACACAATGATAGCATATATTATACCAATGAGTTATATTTTCAGCCCCTTGGGTTCATATTTAAAGAACAACCTTTAAGGACTTAAAGATGTCTACTGAACTTTTCACCCAAACACAAAAGAGTGTAACATCTCAGCACTTCATGGAACCTTCTCCAATATTGATCATACAGTCAAACAAAAAGCAACCTCAACAGATACAAAAAGATTGAAATAATCCCTTGTATCATATCAGACAATCATGGTCTAAAACTAGACCTCAACAATAGAAATAACAAAAAGCTTACACACACGGAAACTAAACAACTCTTTACTCAATGATAGCTGTGTCAGAGAGGAAATAAAGAAATTAAAGACTTCCTAAAGCTCAATGAAAATGAAGGTACAACTTACCCAAACTTATGGGACACACTGAAAGCAGTGCTAAGAGAAAAGTTTATAGCACTAAGTGCCTTCACAAACAACCAAGATATATCATACAAGCAACTTAATGGCACACCTAAAAGAACTTCTCAGGTCTGAAATCAATAAATTAGAAACAAAGAGAGCAATTCAAAGAATCAATGAAACCAAGAGCTGGTTCTTTGAAAAAGTCAACAAGATAGATAAACCCTTAGCCAGAGGGACACTATTTAAATCAACAAAATCAGAAATGAAAAGGGGGACATAACAGACACTGAGAAAATCCAAAGAATCAAAAGCCTACATCAAACAAAATTTGAAAATGTAGCCCATTGACTCAGTCTCCAAGTGAGTACCCTAGTAAGGGGAGTAGGGGCTGTCTCTGGCATGAACTCAGTGGCAGGCTCTCTGATCACCTCCCCCTTAGGGGTGCAGCCTTGCCAGGCCACAGAGGAAGACAATACAGCCACTCCTGATGATACCTGATAGGTTAGGGTCAGATAGAAGAGGAGGACCTCCCCTATCAGTGGACTAGGAGAGAGGCATAGGGGGAGAAAATGGAGGAGGATGGGATTGGGAGGAGACGAGGGAGGAGGCCACAGCTGGAATACAAAGTGAAAAAATTATAATAAATAATAATAAGAAGAAAAAAAGTAAAAAAATAAAAGTACAACCTTTAAATAATCAAAAAATTGATCAGCAGCCTCTACAACCCCACAGTATTTTTAAAAAGTTGACAAAAAGTCAACAACAAAAAATAAGCTGAAATATGCAATCACAGCTCTACATTAAAAACAATCTAAACAGTGATAAATATTTATATGGCATCCTTATTATCTATGTAGTTTTATTGATACAAGCTGAGTGCTTTATCAACCAAACACTGAAGAACAGGGCCTTCAGTTTGGTCCACAAAGTAAAGCAAATCTCTATACTCTACAATCTCTACTGGGAATGACAGTATGCAAATGACTTTTGCATCTAGCATTAAATATGTGAAATGTCTTCCCACTTAAAAATATATTTTCATATTGAAATTAGAAAGCCAAATATCAACAGGACAGTGTTGGTACACTCTTTTGATCCTAGCACTCAGGAGCCAGAGTCCAGTGAATCTTTGAGTTTTGAGGAAAACCTGGTTTACAGAGTGAGTTTCAGGACTGACAGGACTACACAGAGAAACACTGTCTTGAAAAGCAAACAAACAAAAAAACCAAAAACAACAACAACAAAAATGCAAATATCTGATACCCTATCGGTTTATGTCAAACAAACAAAAAACCAAAACAATAACAAAAAAGGCAAATATCTGATACCCTATCGGCTTATGTCCTCAATTTATGTTAAGTACTCATATACATACACCTATGTACATATAAACATACACCATTCTTCTCCAATGCCTTTTGTAGCTACTTACAAGCCTTATCTTTATGAAAATAGCAAAATAAATATCACTATGCCCTTTAAGGTTCATATTATCTTTAAATTTTGAGATGCTATTGATAGAAGTTTAAATTTTATTATCCTAAAAATTAAAATGTTACTGATATTAACTATAATGCAAATGCCAAAATGACATCATACCTCTTACCTTGTCAATACCAACTCAAAGGGATGCTTCAAAATCACTGTCTACTGACTTAGTAACAAAGAACATTTCAAAGAAGAGTTTTAAAGTCAATGGATTTCCTGAATTTATCTACAACAATGCAGTCACCAAACAGGAGACAGATTTTAATATTTGCTGGATCTTACCTACTTGCTAAAAGCCACAAGCTCTCTAAGCCTCAATAAACAAATCTATGTAATAAAGAGAAAATAACAAAATAATGTATTTGAAGTTCCTTCTAAATGAAAAGTAAGGCCATGAACATACCTATAAAGCTAGTAACTATGAAATAACATTAATGGAAATGCTTACCTTAGTCTGACCTTCAACAAAATCTTCAGATTTTTCACAAAACTGATTGTGTAAATTAAGTCTTTTACATAGGCCTTAAATACAATGACCTTAAATAGTTAAACAATCTTAAAATTAGTCACAGACTTCTGAAATACCTTAAATTCAATTCTTTCTGATAGCTAGAAAATAGAAAATAGGCTTTATGGTTAAGACCTGTAGTCCTAGTACTTGAGAGGCTGAAACAGAACTGTTACATGTTTAAGGTGAGCCTAGACTACAGAGTGAGATTCTGTCTCATAAATTAAAAAAAAATAACAACTAGGATTGGAGCTCTGTGATAGAGTAATTAAAACTTAAGATATGAAGTGTGATGCCTGTAATCTCAGAAATCAGAAAGTAGAGGTTAGGGTATCAGAAATTCAAGGACTCCTAGCTACACTGAATTTGAGGCCAGCTGGGACCACATGAAACCATCTCAAAAAATATTTATCACCAATTTACTTAAATACATTTCTATAACTGATAAAAGCTATTTCCTTTGCAATTATTCTCTTTCTTTACATGCTACAAACGAAGTTTACTAAATGAACATGAGTGCTTACCAAGCAAGAATCTGGTTCTCCCTCTTCCATTGGCTCATCAACCATTTTAAGATCATTTACCTAAAAAAAATTGTTCAAAATGTAAGTTCAACAGTATTAAAACAAGAATATTGACTAGAAAAATACAATCCTAGACATTTTCCTTCACAACCTAAGAAGTTACTGAAAAACAAAAGGTCAAAGGATACAAAGAAAGCATTTAGGAAAGAAAAAATTTAATATAGTTTACTATTGTCCTCAAAGCCTTAGTTTTTCAGAGCTTTATGTTTCATTACATACTTAAGGTTGTGTCATAATTGATGACCTTACACATACTAATAAATCTCACAGATACCCACCTTAGATATATTTAAAGAACGTTAGAAGAGAAACAATTTCATATGACTGTACAATGGTAAATCTCATATGGTTCAGTTTTAAATTCATAAGATATATAAGATACAGAATGAAGCTTAAACTACAGGAGATTTAAGCAGCTATAGAAATGTTTTTACATGCAAAGCTTAGTGGATAATTATATGTATTCAAGCACTAATTCAAAAACAATAAATATAGAGGAACTTTGATCAAGGGTCTACAAACTATAACCCATGGGACAAATCAGGTTAGCTGCTTGTTCCTGAATAAATGTTACTGAAATACAGTCACACTCATTTGTTACCATATTGTCTATGATGGCTTTCACCTTACAACTGCAAAGTTTAATTGTGACAGAGACACTATGACTACACGGTATTGAATATTTATTGCTTGGCCTTTTACAGAGAAACTCTGTCATTCAGTGTTCTGAGGAATCTGCAGATTAAATAATAGCCAGCTGATCTAAGTAAAAAGGAATTTAACCAATGCTCATTTATAAGAGACCACAGAAAAGAAAACCTAGATGGATAGACAGAGGGAAGGATGGATTAAATAAAGCTACTAGTGATACCCAAAATAGAATAAGCTCACTAAGCCTACCTTCCCCCTGATTACCAACTAAAAATCCTATTTAGAATACTAAAGAAACCATCCTGGGGCTTTTGCAAGTAACAATAACAATAAGAAGAGATATCAAAATTTGAGACAACTCAGAAGAGCTCTCAGTTTATTTTCTCCCTGTGTCTCCTGACTTTTGCCAACGAGGAGACTGAGTGGGGAGACAGAATCATGGAACCCCTCTACTGTAGGCCTAAACAGAACTCCCCAAATAAGATACACTTCTAAGGTTATTAACATAATAAGGAGAACACTAATTTTCTAAAATTATCACCACTTTTCCTTTTTGAATATTCAATCATGCTAAGGCATGAACCAATTAAGAGAACAATTTCTCTCTCATCAGAGGAAGCAGGAAAATAGTTTCCTATGCTAAGAAAGGTATAGGGGCAATCCCTTTTTATTTACGGTCTTCTTCACAAAAGAGTAACTTTAACAGTACAAAGTTCCAGGAACTAAGGCTTTGAAAGAAAATCTTATTTCTGACCAGAGAAACCGTGTTAAAGCCCCTGGAAAATGGCTAATTTGTAAGAAATTACACAGGTCAGGGTAAGAAGGTAACTCTTGATTCTATGTTTGAGCTAATCCAAGTACTAGTTTAAAACACCAATCCGTATGTGTAGGGATTGCAACTTCAAAATACAATTAACATCTTTGAAAAATAAATTACAGTATTAACCACAGCCAAAACTCAAACCAACCATGAACATGAATTTAGATTCCAGTAACCAGTTGAAGACATTGATCTAAGACTTACTTGTGTTAGCAACCATATAACGCAGCTTTATTAGAAACTGACATGAATTAGAAAAAATCTGTGTGTCCTTCAATCAGTCTTGGATAAACAATAAAAGATTAAATATCAACAAGAACTACTGATATTTCTGACAGCTCAGATAACTCTTAAGACACATTTTGTCAACTCATAGAAGCAAATTTGTAAGTGTTAATTATTGGATGGCTGGCTCTCAAAATGTAATGCTGACAAAAGGCAAACTACAGGGGAACAATTAAAAAATAAGCAATATAAAATTAACTAGGGAGCCACTCTACATCAGTTCTTTACCCAGGGCTCGCAAGTTCTGTATGACACCACTGCTTTTCACCTTACCTCAACACTGTAGGCAATGTGGGATTTAAAAAATAAGCTATAAATATGTTATTAACAATTAGCTTTCAACAAATAATTCAAATCCAGGAAGACTATATCCTGATAGTTAATTTTCTTATAATAAAGTCACTCTCAGATTTCTCTATACATAAAGAGTTTATGTATATAAAAAGGATTATCTATATGAAAAGAAAATATGACTTTCCTGTTACCTAGCTGCTGGCTACATCCTAGTCATACTATCTTATGACTAATGTATCATGAAGCTGTTAGTCTGGAGGAACTAGAAATAAAATGAACCGGAACAAGTCAAAAAACTTCACTGCAACCTGGAAATTATCCCAGCCACAAGTAGAACACCTAATTTTTCTTACTTCATCGACTTTCAAAGAGCAGATTGTCAATATAAGAATATTGATTCTAAGAAGCACCACAGAAATATCTGGTGCTTACTAAAACCCAAAATCATTTTCACTCATGTGAAAAAAATATTTTAAAAAATGATTTAAGAAAATAAAACATTATTAAAAATATAATTTCTAATTCAAGAAGATAATCAGATACATTTTTCACCAATTAACTGTGAAATGGAAGCCTAGCCTGGTACTTTTAATCCAAGCACTTGACAGACTGACAGGAGGACTGTGAGATCAAGGCCACTCTGGGTAACATAACAAGATACTATTTCAAGACAACAAAAGAATTAAATGGTGAAAAACACAAGTGAGCCAAGTACTCATCAGTCTAATAAAGACTACTTTTAAGTTATTTTAATTTTGTCAGAAAAGAATTTCCTGATAACCTGTAAACATCAAAATGAAGACATACAAATAAGAAATAAATTAAGAATATAAGAAATAACGATGATGTAAATTAATAATTTCATTAACCAAACATAGATAAGAAATCAGTTTTCACAGCAAATATGATAGCAATATTAACTTACTAGCAGTCTCCAGGATACCCCAAAATATACCTAGTAAGCAAAATGACTTAATGCATATAGTACTCAATATTAAAAATACACTTAAGAAATATGACATAATAAAGAAATTTTGTTCTCAAATAACCTTCAAGACTACATGTTGGGTACTGACTTCTGGTAAAAAAAAATAAAAATAAAAATAAAAAATAAATAATCATTATAATAATTATTATCATTCCTCCTCCTCTACCTACTTTTCCTTCTTCACTTCAAACTAGAACTGGATCTACTTTTGAATGTACTTTTGAGGTACATTCACAATACTTAGACTGATGTTCTATGCACACATACTGAGTCAAACCCTTGACCAAATGAGAAAGCTGCAAGTCAATTCAGTATAGCAGTCAAAGTTGGAGATAACCCCCATGAGCCTCACCTCTTTGTGTTCATGCTCTTGTACAACATCCGTTGTCTTCACAGTAAACATAACCTGTGGCTGGATTCCAAAAAGAATAATGGCAAAGATGATAAGATTTCATTTATATGATTACTTTATGGAAAAAAAAAACAACTCTAGAGACTCTCCTTATTGGCTTGATAAGTGGTCATGTTGAAACCCACTTGACAAGGGAATGTAACCATGCTGTAGCAGCTACTAAGCAACTTCTAAAACTTAAGGGAAGCCTACATCCAGCCAGTACTCAGCAAAATAACCAGGCTTTTCACAATGGCATAGAAAAGAACTGTGCCAAAATCCTTTGAGAGTTTAAAAGTAGACCTTCCCCAGTGAAGCCTCCAGATAAGAATGCAGAAGAGCCGAAACCTTGATTACAGGTTTGGATGACTAAGTCGAAGACCTAGTTGAGTCATACCCAGATTCCCAGCCCATACAGTATTATGTAGCAACAGGTATTTATTACAATCAGTATTACTGGTCAAAGGTAATACTTTACCTTTTTTTGTATAATACTTTAGAAATATCTTTGTAAAACTATATCTTTGTTCTCGTATTATAAATAAGAAATTGAAAATAACATCTTACTAAGTAAACCTAGGAAAAAAAAAAGAGGTAAATTTTCAAAACATTTGCCTCATAATTAAGGCTAAGAAATTATATCACTACCTTTTGATGGTTTTTGAACAATAAAGATTACTAACTAAATAAGCACAATATAGAACACATAATTTCATATTCCTTCATATTCCGAGATGCTTGAGAAGCTGAGGTAGGAGGACTGCTAACAGTTTGAGGACAGTCTGCGCTATACATCAAGTTCCAGGCTAGACTGCTCTACAAAGTGAGATCATCATCATCGCCTATTGTTACTTCTAATTTATTATCTCAAAAATGCATGTTCAATTTACAGCAGAACTCAGACCATATCCTATAATTTGCTTTTAAAAAAACAATTCCACCATACCTACAGATGGGAATAAACTGGTACCTTTGTGTAATGCTGATAACTATGCAAAATAGCATAGCTACCATAAAAATATGACTATTCCTCAAAAAAAATGAAAGTAGAATAAGCATATTTTATGTAATTGTACCTCTGGGTCTGAAACCAAAATAACTGAAAGCAGACTCTCAAAGAAAGCTTTGTGTACCACATGATTACAGCAGCAGTATTCACAATGGGAAGAAGATGGAAGCAATCTAAGCATATATATATATATATATATATAGGTATTTACATAAATAACAGTGTACTATATGTACACAATGAAATACTATTCAGCCTTAAAAATAAAAACAAGTCTGACACATACCACAAAATGGATGAACTGTAGCAAGATTACATTAAGTGAAATAAGAGATTCACAGAAAGATAAAATACTTTATAATTCTACTTATATGAAGTGTCAAAACAGGCCAAATTCATATAGACAGAAGACAAAATAGCAGCAGAGTACTTCCCTATTAGATCAAAGCTAACCTGATCTACTTATAAAGTTCCAAGCCAGGCAGGGATACATAGTGAGACTCTGTTACTGAATGGTAGTTATTTCAAATTTTTATAACTTAAAAAATTTGTTTCTTAACCGTAAATTTTATTAGCAAAATTAGAATAAATATTAGTATAAATGTTATAAATTAAGCCTTTTAGTTAAACAATGGCCCATGTGTCAAATTTTGCCCACTTCATATGACCTACAAGATGAGCCTTGTATTACATTCACAACAGCTTTTCCTAAAGGCTACTGTGGACTTAACAATTTTCCTGAACTACAGAACCTATTAATTGGAACAAAGTTATCTCTTTCTTGTGTTCAAAGGCCATGTCTATGGAGAACTGCTTACAGATATCTCTCAAAGCCTTGGGTTCAATACCTAGGGCTTCTAAACAAACAAACAAACAAACAAACAAACAAGTAAATAAATGGACAAGATGTTACACAACATTCTTTCAGCTACTTAGAAGGATCACTTGAGGCAAGGATAATGAGATCTCTCTGGCAACATAGTTACTGCTCCCCTTTAAGTCATTGTTCATAATGTTAGCACAATTTTAAACAACTTTATTTTAATGATTTCCTTACAAATTTATGAAAATCAGTATAAATTTTAAAATCTACTGCTATTCCTACAACAGCTATTTATATCTGTTTCCAAAATCTCAGCATATACTTCTCAAATTAGATATGGTATACATAAAATCAAACATGACTAAATTAAGAGCTAGCATTAGTTCTAGAATAGCTTGCTAACTTAGAAATATAACCTCTAGAACTCTTGCTGTTTTAATATCCAACATAGCAAGTCTAATGTACCTACGAGAGCTATGATAATCAATCTCCATTGTTAACCTACCTACACTCAGAATCCTGTGGGAGATACGTGAGGTATACCTGTAGGTGTATCTGTGAGGATGTTTCTAGGGAGGATTAACTGGGAAGTGGGTGGCACCATACAGGTGAATAAAAAGAGGAATAGAAGAAAACCAGGTTTATTACACTTACCATCCTCTGCTTCCTAGCCCATGTGACTTGAACTTATATTTCTCTCTCACCATAATGGACAGACCCTTTGAAACCTTAAAGCAAAAGCTTTCTCTTTCTACTCCTTACATTATTTCTGTCGTTTTATTTTGTCACAGTGTCACAATATAAGATCCAAATTCACAGTAATTCATTTAAAGAGTTTAAACTAATTCATTAGTAAAAATAAGTTTTCTTTTCTATATGGCAGAAATAATTTTAGAATACTGAAAAACAAATCAAGATGGGCATGTTTTTAAATCCTCTCATGAATAATAGAAATAATGTAAGGTAATAAGGCACAAATTGAATTGAGAGATGCACACTGAAAACTGCATTTTCTGCTTTTAATGCTCTACTTTCTTGACAGCTTATTTAAGTAGGAAGAAACCAACTACTAATACTTTTTAAAGCAAAAGTGTAAAATGTATCACTTAGTCTATGAGAAACTAAGACATTAACACCACAAAAATATTTTTAAAGCTTTCTTTAGGCATAAATTTGTTGGTATGTATAGCATAATATACTGCCTATTTAGATAGTTCCTTGTGATTATAAATGAACACACACACACATCACTGGTCTTCAGTTATAAGAGCAGGAGTCTAGAATACTACCCAGTAGAGCCTATCAAGAAACAACCATACCTTATGGATCATACACAGATGCTACTCATTTGATAAATGAGTGAAAATCAAATATTTAGAACTAATTAAAACCAATCTAAGAATCATTATACATCATTTATATAAGTAAAATATTATTACTTACAGCAGTACTAGGTTGTTTCTATATACTAAGCATATTCACACAATATACATCCAAATGTATCGGTAGATCTTCTGGAGTTTTAAAATCCATTTAATGACAGAAAAAAAATCTGTTTTCTATACAGGCAGGAATTTGTTTACTGTGCTGAGTCACATCAGAGACAATGACTTGAATATGTCTGAATGGGGTAAATGTATTCTAAACGCCAAGGCATGTGATGCCTTGCCAGTCTCATAAGCGCTATGGCATATACATTTGCAATGCTTACTTGCAAATAATGTACTATATGTGACATAAATGAGTATACATCAACATAAAACCTTTCCACGTACATGGTATTCTTTGTAGAAATTCTTCTCATTGTAATAACCTCTTAGAGATTTAATGTACATATAATTATAGTATAATGCCTTGAGAATATGAAATGAATATAACTGTCTACTCAGTTATTTCTCAAGATTAAAGAACTTGGTCTATGTCATATTTCTATTTTGTTAAAAAAAACTGTATTGTTCTTATCAAACATAAAGCACAACTGCTCTATTTCCATCTCAAAATAGCATAAATACACTAATTTCTGCCTTACACATGAAAGAGATCAAATTAACTAACATCTAAGAACACACAGCAAACAAGTTACCAGATAAAACAAATCCTGCCCCAAAGTCACAGTTCGTAAACACACTATACCGTATTCTGTTTACTTCATGAAAATAATGGAGAAAAAATTGATTAAAAAATGTTTTTTAAAGAGTTTCTTTAGGGAGAAAGCTACCACAAACTATTAGCTTAAGATGAAATCTTGCCTAAAATGTTCATTCATTAGTAAAATCTGGTCTCAAAATGTTAAATTGAGGAAATCATGACTCAATAATCTACAGAAAATAGAATTTAAGTTAACAGAGAAATCAGATGTCCTACAAAAGCAGGACCATCGTCTTGTAGAAGGAGTAAGAAGAATCGTTACTCTTGGGGAATGAAAGGTTTCAAAATTCAAGCCGTACAGAAAGTCAAATATGAAAAAAATACTTTAATATTTGTAAATAAAATGCCTTTAAGTAAAAGTTATAATCACTTCATAGCTACACTGGATGCTTAAAAATCATCTTGCACAAAAATCACCCAATAGTTTTTTTTTTTTTTTAATTTGAAAATCTATTAATCTTCAATAACCTGGAATGGAAATGTGAAACACTTAACGTAATAATTTTTACTGATAGTCACAATTAGAAAAGGTACTACTCTGAGTAGCTATGTTTTGTTTTTATCATTAATTCCAACTGTACATATAAAGCAACTAAGTTAAGCAATTTGTCAAAGATCACATGCAAAAATAATTGAAGGAGATGGAATACACTCTCAGGCACTCTAGCTCAGAAAACTTACTACAATCTTATTATTTCAATCTTATTGTTTCTGAGTTTCTAGAGAGTTTGATATGGTTAATACTTTATTTCTTTAAAAATGACATGTATATAACCGAATTCATTCTGAACAGTGTATTCAGTGGAGAACAGGTAGTCTTTTAATAATGGTGTAAAAATACTATTTATCAGTATGGTAAAAAAAATAAAAAAATACCATCAGTAATAAAAATTAATAAAAACTGGATCAAAATTCCAAAAGTGGCATACACTTCAAATAACATCAACAAAATAGAAAAATTTTGTGACCTTAAATTCAGGCAAATTTTCCCTATTTAAAAAATTCATAAATTATTTTATTGAAATTAAAAACCTCTACTCT